TTTCATCGTGGTTTTGGGACCTCCTGGCCTCCTCACCGGATTTGCACCCAGGCGCCTTTGATCACCACGGTCTGCGCGCGGGCGGGGCATCCGCCTGCTTTGCCTTGGAGGTGCCCGAGTAGCACATCCGCCACTGGGGCGACTAGCACAGCACGGCCATGTGGCGGTACATTGATGTGTATCGAATCCCATCGGAGTGGGATTATCGCGTCTTCGGGTGGATGACGATTGCCGCCCATGATTTACATGACAGGTATGGCCACATGTTCTGCTCCGGAGGAGCATAGTGTGTCCGAGGGTGACTGGGCACACAAGTTGTGGGTACCTCGGGTTGTATTGGGACAAACAATCGTCTTTTGTAATGTATTGGTCTAGTGTGTGTGTGTGGACCTAGGTGGGACAAGGAGCCCGGCCCAGCGGAAACAGCCATGGAGTAGCGCCACCAAGGTTCTTTTGACATTTTGGAGCCTCTGGCGACGTTCCACGCCGCCACGCCTGGCAACTGCCGTTGCCCTTGGCTTGTCGCCGACTTGTTCATCATAGAATTTGGTCTTGGGGCGATTGCTCGCTCCGCAGGGCGCGCAACTCGTGCCATCAGACATGCATCTTTAGATGCGTGCAATTTGATGTGTGCTGGCGGTGGCTGTGTGGCACTGCGGATGTCTTTGAGGACCTCGAATGAGCAAGAATCTGGATATTCCGACAGTGGAATCAGAGAAATAGTGCGAAAGAAATGGGATCGCACGAACGCTCTTCCATAGCTGCACAGGCACTGTGTGCGGTTAATGGCTCCAGGACACTACAGATTGCTTCGCAGTTTCCTGTGAGCCGAAGGTTTGATTCTGATATGGAATCAGAGAAACGATACAAAATGGGGGAGATCGCTGATGGTGGTGAGTTGTACCAGGTGACAAGCACCGGTGAAGCTGCAGGAACCTGCAGGTTTCGTCGTGGGCATCCGATGTGCAAAGGCTTGCAGGTTCCAACAGTAAAACACAAAACGCGGAAAGAAGAAATGGCGAATGAGGACGCCATCCCAAGGTGAGCTGGAGATGTTCTTTTCTGGCAGTGGCTGAGAGCACTGAGGACTTCAATACCAAGATCGGGGTGCTCCGCGTCCTTCCGCAGCTATGTGGACGGAATGTGTGTCCGCCCCTGAAAATGTAGGAATGGCAAGATAATCTTGTCCCAAGGCGGTTGCATGGTGGCTATTGGCAGCATAACTCTTGTGCATGCCTGTCAGTCCCCATAACATGCGGCCCCTACCAGAGGCTGTACCACTTGGCTTGTCTTTCGCATCAGTCCATACACTACACTGTGGTTTGCACTGCGGCGCCCCCCCCCTCTGGCAGACCTCCCGGGTCGCATCAATGAAACACTATGTGGGAGTAGTGCTGCTACAATGCATTGCCATAGTGCCCTCTTGTGCCTGCGAGTGTGGATCTTGGAACGCGCAGCAGTGTGTTCGAACGACCACCTTGATCCAGTATTGACCCTGGTATCAACATCCCACCTGTGCTGCAAACCTGCGCTCCAGCAATTCAACAAGAGATGCGAGGGCAGACGAGATCGCGGCCGTACCCTCCCCCAATCCTGCAAGTTACAGCCCTGCCGCCACCAACACATCTGCAAGACTGGGAGGCAAGCCTTGTCAACTGGCAGCACCGAATCACAAATAATGTATCATTATCCTCGCGTGTTGCATCGCACCAACTGGGAGCACTGCAAGCGCCAGCAACATCAGGCCACCCGCACGATCCACATAAGCCGCCTGTCCCATTGCCCGCATGAGACGCTCTTCAGTCAGCTACCCCATACACCGCATACTGGCTACCTGTCCCACGCCTGGCAGCGCACCCCTCAGCAGTTGTATCTGCCACAGAATCCATAGCCAACACCAGAAAAGCAAACCCTGCCTGCGAGACAGGTAAGCATGAACCCAGAAGAAAGAACCCAGGCCTGGGGCTGGCCCTAATGCCATGTCCAAACATGGTTGGTTGAGGTCAAAGTGCCAATTGCACACCCAGCCCCTGGTGACACAGCCCTGCCAGAAAACAACTCGATCCCCTCCCTCTCCCCCGCTGCATCGTGCAGGAAGAGAGGGAGGCAATCCCCCATGAGCAGCGGCCCACAACAGCCCTGCCAACATGGATCTGTACGACGTCCAGCGGGCTGGGCCCCCTGGGACACCATGATAACTCAGCAAACAAAGCCCCCTGCCCAAAAAATCGAATGCCATTCACACCTTCCCTCGAGCATTTTCGTCTCACCCACAACTGTCCATATTGCCAGGCGCACTGACCCCGGGAAACACACACTCTTCATCGCATGCACATGCTGGGCATAAGAATGACCCCCTATATCCTACAGAGCCGTCGCCACAGCGATCAGCATGCCACACTCCAGTACAAGAGGACACCGCAGCTTGCACAAAAAAACTTGAATTCCATAAACCTCGTTTACACAGCCAGCACATCCTCCCCTGGGGGTTGGAAGTGACGGGCTAATTGTGAGATCACATACCCCCCCCTCCCCACAAGTCGTATTCCCCATACACAGAATGACACACAACAATTGTGCTGCCGTCTTCACATCATGAGCCCCGCGAATGGTATCACTTCTTCTGCAGAGTCTTTGCAACTGCCACGGCGGCTGCCAATCCACACAGAATGAGGATGCGGCCAAAGCTGCAGGGCAAACACAGGCAATACTCAAACAGGCACAAACCAGTGTCGCACTGTCAGAAATAGAAGCCATTGCACCAGCACCTCTGCCTTTTCAAACCAGTTGCACATTCTGCATCTCGACATATCATGCTGTCTTGTGATTCGTACTGCTCAGTGCTGCACGGCATTCCAACTGCACCCAAGGATTTCTGTAGCAGCATCTACAGGATGGTCAAGGGTCTCATACATTCTTGCTCAGGAGTGGCTCCCAATTAACAACTCCTTCCTTCCTGTTGAAAAGGAAAATCGCGCTATGCGCAGTCAAGGCATTAACATACAGGAAACGTGGGGAACCAGCAGACAGCAGATAGATACTGCACAATTTCCCCAGATCTCGAAAACTGCTTCTGCATATTGCATGACTTGTTGCACAGGGCTGCTCTCGTCTGTGTGTCACTGTAGTATGAAGGTATCGCCCTTGAAAATGTGCTGTGCAATGCAGCAGGACGTCCTTGATGGTGCTCGCAACAGCACACAAGTGCAACAATGAAGGCCTCCAGAACGCCACACCGAAAAGAACACACATCTGCATCGCTGGCTGAGTCCCAACTTCAAGTGCTGCAATGAGCAAGAATCTGCCTACCCTCTGCCTTTTCTTCCATCTGCTGGTGCCGATGGCTGGGCTCGGCCTTGAGTAGCAGCTGCAGTATCAGCAGACAATCGTGTCAATAGTGAAAAGCCAGCTACCATTAGCGGCCCACAAACACCTGCATCTCTTATGCACTGTGCCACATGCGACCCATCAACAACTGTGACTAGCCCACAACATAACAAATCTAGTGACAGAGACTGAACCCAGCGATGCAGGCCAACGAGACCACCTTGTTGGTCTACCATTTAAAGCAAGCACAAAAGCGCCCAGAATTTCGGAACAGAACACAAGCACAGCTCTTGTGCAGTCCAATACTCTGAAGAGGACTTCCAAAACACCCCTCCTCCACCATTGATCCCCAGCCCTTCCTTAGGTGCGCAAGTGCACTGTTGCACACTTGTGCTGGAGCCCAGTGTGGTCTTGCAGGCTCAGTCCAGCATTCATGATGTGGTTTTCTGGGGCTACGGTTGCAATCACACTCACAGCAGACCTCTCACCAGTGGGTTTGCGTGCAAGCTCAGCTGGCACCCGTCCCTGGTTTGCACTTTGGCCTCTCAGCGTAACCCGAATGAAGCCACCAAGAGCACGTTCGGGGCTGTCACCAGGTTTGAAGAGTTCGAAGTACTTGTCAATGGGGACAGCCTCAAGGATGTCCTTGACATAGATTCCTGTTGAACGAGCAAGCGACGGTCACCAGTGGCAGGGGCACTGACTTGAGAGTGTTGCCTTGATATGGAGATACAGGTCGTATACTGAACATCCCCTTCCCACAGGGGGATGCAAGAATCTATTCCACCACTAAAGCTTACATACGAGTCACCTAGAGTGACAATAGTGTGCCAACGATGGCAAGTGTAGGAATGGCAATGGAACACAGCAATAGGCAGGCACCATAAAGTAGGTTTGAATGAGGATTCGAATCTAGGACAGAAGCATGCAAGAAGACCAACTTGGGGCAGCAAAGCAAAATCAGGTGACAGGTCCTGGCCGGCCACCTATCTGCCTAGATGATGACTGTACCGCATGCCGCCAAAATGTCTGTTTTGCGCCGCGTGCCGGTGGCATCCCTTGGCTTCTCCTTGCACAGCATTATGCGCATCTCTTTTGACTCGTCGGTCACCTCACTGCAAAACAATTGCACAATCCCTCAACCTACACGCTGGTGTCAAAGAGCATGAGCAGTCGTGCCTGCCAGAATCCCTTGCCCAAAACACAAAACAAGGCAATAAATGCCGAGCTGCTACAAGGTGTTGCCCAGCACACAGACTGAACACTCACAAAGACATTAAAGAACTGGCCCAAAACACAGCGAAGGTTGGCAATGACTGACAAATGCAGCACATCACACAGTGCCAAACTATTTCCCACAGAACATCTGATGACCAGCGCAACAACACTAATGTCCAGATCAACATACAACAGAACTCACACTCGAAGTTCTTGCTTCCATGAAATCGCCAGATTCTGTACGCTCTGCGTCAAGGTAGTGGCCTGCAGAACCAAGCACATACTGGTTTTCACACATACAAACATCTGCAGATGCGCAGCCCACAGCAACTGCGCACGCTTATGCCACGCAACTGCTAATGCAGGAGCAAGAAGGACTTCAGTCGATTCATCACTAGTGCCCTGAGCATCCTCAAAAAGCGACTTCTGCACAACAGGGCTTTCACGGTAGTCATTGGCTCACTTCCAAGTCACCTTTATGGTCTTTGGACCACCCCTCACTTCCACTGCAACAGCAGGCCAAAAAACCAAGTCTTCAGCACAGGCACTGCAAGATGAGGTCAAGAGGAGCTGTATATACCAACACTTGCGTGATTGGCAACCTCCACACAACAAATGCGCGCCAATGTGCACCATCGAAAGACTACTTTCCAGACAGCCACAGCTATCCCTGCCCTGCAATTGGTGGCTGGCAAGTGTGCAAAGCGAGATTGCTGCCATTTCCATATAAAAGAACAACCATTGGTCACATGAACGTGCATGCAACATTTTGTCCACGAGCAACAGATGATTAGATCCGCTGAAACAATATGACGTGAAGACAAGGGCGGCTTCCAAAATGAAGCCTACATGTTGCAGGTGTTCAAAAGATTCCAGTGCCTCTGGAGAAAATACAACATATCAAAAAGTGTTCACACTACTTGTGAGGTTGAGTTTTCAGGCCATTTGCATACTCCATGCTGTGCCTTGGGTCCAAGACAAATCAACACAACAGCATGCATTAGCAAGGGTGGATGGGGGGGGGAGGGGGGGAAGAGGTTTGGGTGAGAGGGGAGGTTGGCATACCAGCATGAAAAGTTGGACAGGGAATTTATTTGTGGGCATCAAGGTGCAGCAGCAAGCAGTCACTGAAGTGTGCAACACAAAGCAAGCACATCACACCTCTGACAAATCCCTCAGTGAAGGACGGCTCCCACAGGACCTCCTGATCCTTGCTCTTCCCGGATGCCTCCTGGACCGTAATGTACAGAAACCGCTTCTGCGATTCCGCCATCTGAACCGTCTTCAACAGACCTCTGTGGATCCAACAACGCACAAAGTCAAACGGGGGTCTTCGGCTAGGCGCCGCAGCGCCGCTTGGTCCTGCTGGCTCGGGAATGCCAGACAACGATTTTGGAGGGATCTTCCTCGCGCTCGCGCAAGGAGACAGGACTTGCGAGGTGGCACGAGCTGCCAAGGGCTAGTGATGGCGTTCTACCGCAACCAGGGGTTGCAAACCCGCTTCACCGCGTGCAGCCAAACGTAAATCATCAAGAGTCAAAGGGAAATGGGGAGGCGCAACAGCAGACGAGGAGGCCCAGAGCATCGCATCCAGTGAAGGGTTCAGGGATACTGCTCAAAGGATGCGCAAGGCAGGTGCGCGCGACACCGGCCTACGGATTCGAGGCGCAAGCAAATGCCGTGGGGGTGTACAGTGAACAGCGGCGGGCGCGGCAGAGTGAGTTTTGATCTGCGAAAGGGATGTGCGGCGGGCAGCGCGGCAGGCGCAAGGCGCGGGTTAGGTTCGGGACGCAAGCTAGAGCGCGAGGCGCCGAGCGAGCGGCCCAGCGGGCGGACCACCGGCGGTGATCTTGAAGACACCTCGGGGGAGGGTGAAGCATACCGCGGTGGCTGATGTAGACGTGGACCTGGCAGAGGCAGCTGGGAAGGCAGGTACGGCAATACATGGGGGGTGCAACTCGGAGGCCCCGTAGGCCCCGATCCACGGCGCGCGGGTGCCAGGGTTGTAGTCGCGGGGGCCGGGGGGACGGCTTCCAAACAGCGGAGAGCGCGGCGCAGCGGGCAAGGATCCCCACGTACGATGCTCACAACGAGAAATGCCGAGCCGCGAGTTGGGTGGCGTAGTTTGCCAACAGGGCACCACAAAGCAGGTGGGGTGGGTCGCGTGAACACATGGTCACCCACAAATGCCCACGGGGTGACCCACAAGTTCAGAGCTTGACCAACCCACTTGGTCCACCATGACCAGAGACGCGGCCCCCCTACCGGCCATTGACCCCCCAGGCGCATTCCCCACGCAGCCCCCGCCGACCTCCCCACAGACAACCTCCGGCCGGCCGAAAACGCGCTCGCGGAGAGGGCGCTCTTGGCAGTGCGCTACAATGCCCACCATGGCCTAGCTGTCCCCATTCGGATTCAGATGCCGGCCCTTGGCGGGCGTCGCGGTGGCTGCTGCCGGTGCCCCACCTGCAAGCCCCTTCCGCGGCACTAGGCGCGACTACGCGATCGCCTGGCAGTCCCGTTCGGTGGTGGTGCCGGTCCGCCGCGCCCTCGGCTGCGCCTTTGGTCGCGCCGCACTCCCCCACAGACGCAAACGGCCACGGGCACACCGGCGGGGCATCATCAAAAAGGAAATGCGGTGGGGGTTCCGTCCGGGCTGGCAGGGCTGACTCATGGATTCTGTGCCCAAAAGTGAAGGGCAACTGGGGCCGGGGCCTGGCCCTCACCTGTTGGGCCACCCCCCAGCGGGTGGGAAGCAGCAGGTCTCCCATGTCAGTCTGGGCAGGCTACCCCTGTGACGTGGTCTGGGAGGCCGCGCCTGGCTGGACAGTTCCCCTTGCACACCAAAGATATTCCATGTGTCGGTTGTTTCCTTTTGGGGGCTTTTCAGCTTGGCTCTATCCTGCTTCCTGCTTCAACAGCGCCTTGCTTCTGAGGTTGCGTATTGCCTTCACTCTGCAGGTATCCTCCTGAGCTTCTTCATTGTAACCCTCTTCTGAGAAGTCTCAGGAAGCTGTTGGCTCCCCAAGCTCCATTTTCTACACATTGAGTTATGGAACAATGCTGCACTGTGCTGTGCAGAGGTCCTGGCACCAGCCCGTTTAACTGCAATTGTCCGACGTGGAGAGCAGTTCAGTGGCCTTTTTCCACACTAGCAAAGGCTTGTGTTTTAACCGCTGGGCATTCACACGGCAGGCTCTATCACAATTGGCAGGATGCATTCCTACATTAACTAGGCACCACAACCATGTTTTGCCTCAGCGTGCTGGGAATGTGTAGGCAAAGTGAATGAGCAGGAAGAATATGTGAAGTTCAAAGTATAAGGTTTGGTGCAATAGTCATCGAAAAGTGGAAACCCCGGGCAGTATTCCAGTCTAAATGGGTCATCTATCGTGTTGGTCCGTTTCACTTGAGGGCTGGAGATGAATCAGTCAAGCAGAAACTGAAGCAATAGTTCCCAGCATTACAGTCGAACATCAGGCCACCAACAAATAGGGGTAGTCATATGACTGTACTTGTGCACTCACACAAGGCAATTGCCTGCATCAAGTGCCGGCATCTGTGGTTGCGTCCAACAGCCATTTGTACAGGTGTCAAACCATGCAGTCCACACAATGGTATGCCACAATGCCAAAGGGTAATCCACTGTGACAAGGCACAGTACTGCGTGAACTGTGTCACAAGGCACAGTACTCTTAGTGTACTCTTAATCAATGATTTCCCAGTTTCGGAATCCACATTCGTCGAAGCTTATGTCATCAGTCCAGTGTTGCTGAGCATTGTTGTCCCTCCTAATACACTACTACAAATTCGCCATGGTCCCACTTCTTGTCTTGTGACCATTGTCCTGGTGAACCTACTGAACTCTGTTCCACTAGGAGTGACCTAGAGGTGGTGTCTGGCAACAAGAAAAGCAAACCCAGGATGGGATCCAGCAGTGTGGATCGGCAGAGCATCGCAAAGAGCACCGATCCTCAAGGCTAAAACACACTGCCAACAAAGGTTGTTCCAGAGGCAAAGATAGGGTAAGGGGTTATGCCACACATTTTGTCTATCCAATATCGCCTTCAAGGTGCAAAAGCACAGTCTTCCATTTTTTCTGGGAAATTTCAACTTCCACAAACTCCAAGTCATGGGAAGCAAACTCATCCAGATGCTGACATGGCATGCCCATCCAAGCTGAATTGGTGACTGGCTCAGCATTGATCAATCTAACATTCACAGCTTCATTGGACCTCACTGATTGCCAAATTTCCTGGATGACTGTCCCTGGCCCCACCGGTTATGTTGGGCACTTGCCTCAGGTCTTCAGGCTCATGGCCTGCACTGAGGGTAGGTCATCCCACCAACCACCGGAAGCAGATCGAAGCAAGGTCTTGTGTGCTCTCATCTGTTGAGCATGGGCCATTTGTGCATCTTGGCGCCTCAATCGAACTGTGCCAGGCCTACAAATGTAAGTACAGCAGAATTCACAGCGACATCATAGCATGCAAGACTTCATACAATGTTGTGTGCACATACTGCGCTGCATTGAGACCCCAGAAATAACCCATGGTCGTCAGCAGAGCTCCTTTTGGCATTGCAGCAACAGTGACAGTGCTGTGTCAACTTCAGAAACTCACCTTGCCATCAACTCGACTGACTGCCCAATGGAGTGCAAATTGTGTTGTGTGTTTTTCCCCTTCTTGCAGGCTGGTGAAGGTGTTGAGCATGATCGCCCCTGCCCAGGGGCTGAGGCGCCATTGTGGTGTTCATTGTTGTCGCGCTGCTTTCACAGTCAACTATCATCCCCCTGAATGCGAAACATGCAAAACAAACTGTTTATCAGGCCAGCATGCAACACAGTGCAAAACAGAGTATGCTTTGAGTGCCTGAGAGCGGCTGATATCCATCCATCGTTATTGGTGGTGGTTGGGTTGGGGGGCTCCATGCCCTGCAACAGCTCTCCATCTTATGACCACATTCTACTGGACTTTGTTTGCGGAGTGGCCACGAACCGCATAGATTTTGTTCACTTGGGATGTTGGTGGACAGTCATGCATTTTCATTGACACAACAGATCCATTATTTGGAGACAGTAGTGGTACTGGTGGTCGGCGTCGAGCATCATCTCGATCCCAGAGCCAACGACCATCCCTCGCATACTTCGCCTTGCTGTCTGTCAGTCGAGACGTGCCCTAGAAACAGTCCAACGGGAATCTTGGGTCACGATGCCAATATGGCAAAGCGCTCCATTCACCCAAGAGATCAAAGCACTGCACTCGCTGGAACGGCAGTTACAAGCCAAGCTCTTGCGCCTTGCAGGTGACGACAGGCACAGAAATATCCACGCACCGGATGCTCAGTGCCCTGCGACTCCAATCCCGCCATGCAACCAACGCGCCGCGCGGCCACACAACCACCCACCCGATCACCGCCCTCCGCCCCCGGCGCTCCCCAGGAACAGCATCCTGCTCACGGTCGCCGGCGCCACGTCCTTCAGCGGCGGGATCCCCTCCCAGTCCCCCCATCCCCTCAGCGCCTGCCCCTCTTCCCACACAGGTGTGTCGTCCGCCAGCGTCCTGCCGTCGTGCGGGGGCAGGGTGATGGCCAGGCACGCGCACTCGTACGCCCAAAAGGCGAAGACCGCCGCCACGCACAGCCAGCAGGGCACCGCCAGCGCCCACTGCTTGTCGGGGTAGTAGGTCAGCCCCGCGGCGTGGAGCCAGGCCTCCGGGACGTACGCCCACAGCAGGTAGGTCAGGAAGGCCGCGGCGGACGTGACCCAGCCCACGAAGCCGTAGACTTCGACGGAGCTGGCGCCGTGGGGGGCTTGGGCCACGGGCGAGCTGGGCGAGTCCATGGACCCTGCACTGCGAATAGGGAAGGCGGTTCATTTACAAACTCGTATGGAGTAGCGAAGTTGATATCGAATCGTACTTCCTGCCAAGATTCAGGCGTAGCCGGGCGGGTGATGACGCAAACTGCGTCTTTTGCAGTGCTCGCGGGGGGCACAGACACTCCGCTCGTTCCCGGTCCAACGCAACCTCATAAACAGAGCTCTGGCAAGCACATTTTTAGTCCAGCTCCGAGGCCGAGCATCATTTTCCTTGCTGACGGTGGCAAACAACTCGGCTAGTCTTTCTTTTCGTAGCCCCCGCCCACCTGTTTGTATCCCCAGGCTCGTCGTCGTGCACGGCGCACATACAACAATTTAATCGCAAGCCAACTCATCACTCCGGTAAAGCAGGATGTGCAAAACATGCCATCAACGTCCTTTCACTCAGAAACTAG